CATTGAGAAAATGGGTATCTCAGTAATTTGGAGAGATATCGCAAAGCTGACAACGGTTTGTCGCCAAATTTGGCGAGAAATTTTCAAAAAGCGCCCACTCTCTATCACCATTATAGGTATTGTGTTAATATCGCTTTCCAGTAATTTCCAGAAGCAGAATGTACTAGAAATATCTCGGCGTCCGGTTGAAAACTATATAAGGCCGGAGGCATCTGCTCTTAGTTGTTTAGTTGTTGTTATTGTAGCGAGTGGTTAATTCAGCGTAAGATCGGATTAGCTTTCTCTTTCGATGCGTTTTGCATTGCATTGTATTTAACGTTCTTAGTAGTTTGAAGTATAACTATTGATTGTACAGTGTTATACTGTGGACACTTTCACGAATATTTCTGTGGAAAATTCTGGAACTATGAAATATTTCTTTTGATAAAAATGAATTTTATCAATCTACAGAATCGGACCTGTGTACATTCAATCTATTATCTATTATTATTTAATCTATTAATCTATTACCGAGCCCGTACGAACGCAACATTATAAATAACACTGAGTGGTTACTCTTTTAAACCCTGTATCTGCGAAATATTAATTTTGAAAAAATTAATTTGCAAGTTTAATATATTGGGCAAAATCGTGTAACATAACTATATTAACGTAATATAATTACGTAATTAATAATTATATTAACGTAATATAATTCCGTAATTAATAATTATATTAACGTAATTAATAACATTATTCTAATTATGTGCTTTTATATCAGTATAGGAAATATTTGGTACAGTAATTTAACCTCAAAAAGCGATAGAAAAATACTTTTTATAAAATAACATTACTCTTATTTCCTCCTCTGTATTTGGAATTCTTCTAATCTCAAAAGTGATTCCCAGAAAGGTTTTGGAAACAGTTTAATTTATTTTGCTTAGCCAAGAGGAAATTAATTCAAAGAATTAATATCCTATTTATAGGACACAGGATTATTTTGAAATGAAACTGAGATTTGAGATTTCTTTTAGCAAATGAAAACTATTTAATAGAATAATTATGCAGAAACGTATATATTTGAGTTATCATCTGAAAAATTAATAATATCAAGGAATGTAAATGTCTGAAACTGAATTAATACGGGATGTTGTTACAGACTTAATATTGAATGACAAGAAGAACTGATATAATTATAATAATGTAAGTATTAAAAACTGTACTGTGTTAAACCAGTTATTTATTAACTCAATCTCTTGAAGAAATCCTTTTATTTTGAGAAAAATGTTGTGAGATTCTTAGACAATGTTCCCCTTTTATTTTTTCTTAGAAAAAGATTTTTGATTTCCAGAAATTTTTAGGTTTCTTTTAAAAATAGTATCCCATTTTTTGACTGATTAGATTCAAGAATAAAATTATCAAATACGTAACTGGAGTTACATAAGTTGAAATCCTGGTAATTTGTTCCTAACAAACTATTGCCAAGAAATTAGACAGCAAAGGTGAATAAGAACATAAAAATGCAGAGCAAAGATATTTTCTTTGTTTCACGTGATGGACTAAAAAAAAAAAAAAAGAGTAATCCGTAAAATTTTACGTTGAGTAAAGAAAAGTATTATCAGCAAATGACAATAAAGTGACGAAAGGTCTGTTAAATATTTTAAGCTATATAAGGATTAAAAATAATGCTTTGGAAGATACATTGAACAAAATGAGATTTTATTTATACTTCGTACAAAATCTAATCTTGTAAAGCAAATGTTTTTTAAGCATTTGTAAATATATGTTTTGAATATTACAGAGCTTTAAATGTATAAGGATGTTAATTTTTGTTTTTGGTGCATAAAGCAAAATCCTATTTTAAAATACCTACATAGTTTCACAGTTTTAGTAAAAATGCAGCGTTAATGAATTTACTATATTTCCTTCTAGTGCATCTATAAATATTCACTATATGTCCTTATACATAGTAAATAGCGTCAGCAACAGTTCTGCTAAATGTAGTATTAGAATTAAAATAGTATCAATTTTAATCAAATTAAAATAATTAAAAGTAATAAAAAATTCAAAAAAATCTGAAAGATTTCAGAGTTTATATTACGCCCGAAACGACATTTTTTTAGCGTTTTATGTGTTAGCTTTATTTATTGAATATTATATTCTTCGCACTTAAATTATAAAATTAAATTCAGCAGCAATATCACAGAACATTAAAAAAAAAAGAATATCTTAAGAATTTCCGATACACAGTCTCTCGCCCTGACGATAAAAAAAGTTTTTTTTTTCCGTACAGTGTTGCCATTGCTCACTGTGAAATCGTTGAGTTTGTTAATCAAGCATTTGTTAAAGTTTTACAAAATATAAAACAATTAGTAAAACAAATTCCAGATTCCGAATTTATGCTTCCAAATTCCCATATTCGAGTGGAGGACTACGTTATTTAAAATGTGATGTCTCTAGATGCCGTTGCTTTTTCACAGTCTGAAAAATATGCATACATTCATGCAGAGTCATTCAACAGTACATTTTTAAATTTCTTTAAATATAATACAGGACTCTAATATTTCGTGCAACAATTTAAAAAAGTGAAACGCCATTTACAGTAAACCTACGCAAAATGCCAACAGGAAATTAATAGCCCTTCTGAGAAAATTGCCCTTTGTGATAATAATCAACTAAAATAATTGTCAATTACAAAAAAGGCATTACATACGATTGTTTTTAAATGCTGTTTAATTTTAAAGCTATTACAGAGTGTTAAGCGTTAATAAAATATACCACCTAACAATTTATTCTTTTTACAAATCAGTTGTTTAACTTCAAATTACAGGAGTTTGCATTAAAATTTTAAATTAATTTAATTAAATAATATATAGTTGGAATATCAGTTTTTTACATATTAATTTAAATTCATCATAATTTGAGGACCCTTGAATTATTTATAAAACACTTTTGATTATTTTTATATAAAAATATTTCTAAAGTGCCTTTTTAAGTTAATAAATGGATTAGAATGCCCTTACTTTTTAACAAACGTTTGTATCAATATGCAGCTTTGAAATATATGAGATTATCAGACTCTTTGACATCTCTGTCAAACCTTTTAGAGAGCCGCTTATGTACAAAAGATCGTAAACACATAACTGACAGTTTCAAAAGTATTCACAGTATGTATTGATAAAACTAATCAGAAAATTACATAAAAACTGTCATAGACATTTACGATTATTATTAAACGAGGATTATGATTTTCTGCCAAATTAAACAAAAAGAGATATTTTTGTGTGTTTCTTATATTCCCAGACATTACAGCAGACTGTTGTTTTTGACAAAAGCTAAATTGAGAAACGATACACGCTATAATGTTTTCGCTTACTAGAACATACTATTCAAAATGTCCCATTTAATATAAAAAGATGCATATAAATGAATTTCTCTTAAGGTAATTTTTTTCGCTTTACATTTTTAACCGTCCTAGACTTGATCTTGGGCAAAATGACCCTTACACAAACTGTTTGCGTTCACTCTAATTTCAATGTAAATAGCATCCTGTTAGCCATATCACATAGTTGAAAAATGTAAAATATTATATTATTATACAATACTTCCACTAATGTAATTGCTTTAATAAAATAATTGCTGTTAATAAAAATGTCTTAAATATTTGAAATTTAATTTCAATCAATGAATGACATATTTAACCATTCAACAAACATTCAACGTTCCTCGAATTATATTAATTTGTTATTCATATAAGGTTATTGTAAAAATAATAAGAGGTTTTAAAAATTTCTAACATGTAAAATTTGGTTTGTTATAATTTCAATAATATAAAGTTAGATGAGTTTTAAGGCATTTAATAACATTTCTCTGACTGCTGTATATAAACAAAAGATCATTTAACAATACATTGTTATGAAAGTTTACTTTAAATTAATTATGTGATTTGTTTTAACAATCTAAAAAATAGAGCTCCTTTTAAAGCTCATTATCAAATAACAGAAACCTTCAAACAGATAGAAACTACCTGTTCTCAATATCTGTCACGTGAACTAAAACACATTTAAGAAACAAGTAGTATATTAACAAGTAAATCACGCTTAGGTTTTTTCCTGAAAGCAAATTGTTTGTTAAGCAATATATTACTGTGAATTTAACTATTATACGAAAAATTCACATATATGCAGACCTCAAATGTAAAATTAAATTTTGACGAACTTATTTGTAACTACTAAAGTAGTTAATTTTTTAAAAGATAACATAAAGAAACCAAGGAGCATAAAAAAAGTTATTAAGATCGATCATGCTAAACCTCGTGGATAAAACTGATAAAAAACTGCTTTGTATCATTAGTACACCAATATATTAATATCTTAATCATACCCATAAATATACATTTAAATATCATTAATGAAATAAGGTTATGCAGTTTAAGTTAAACAATATACTATATAACTACATTTTTGAATGAATAAACAACAAAGAAAAGCCTCCAAACCATGAAACATTATTTCAAAATTTAAAGAGCAGACATTTATTAAAAATTTCAAAAATCATAGAATATATATATTAACGTCCTCAAACTCATTATAGTTAATTCATTGATCAGTGTAATAAACATAAAAGTAAATATGTAAACTTATATGAGAACGGAATCCTTCAAAAGTAGCAAATTATATTAAAATAAAGTAAATTACCGTAATATTTTGGAAAGCATTTGTTACTTAACTCTAATTAGATCACACTAGTTAAATTAAAGATTTGAAAGATATTTTCAGGTCTAACTAATCAGTACAAATTAATTAATAATAAATTTTGCTCAATTTGCTGTCAGCCAACCGCTTATTAGTGATCGGCTGGTAGCAATTCTATTCGTACCTACGCGTTTTCTGTGTCCATTCTCCAGTGGGTATTCCAGAACTTGGAATGTTCTCCAAGCAGAAATACGCATCTTTACACATGGTTTCATGGAAAACTCCAATGCAAGAACTTATAGTTGTACCAAAATTAAAAATAAAGGATTACTTACTGAGCATTTTGACCACAGCTTTTCTTGAATTCATCTTTTGCTTGTTGCAGTTGCTGAGATTATCGGCCCTGTTGCCGATGCTTCCTTGGCGGAGTCTTATGCCAATCAAAACATACAAAACCGATATCAAAACAATAGGCAGCACAAAGAATAAACATGTAGATATCTCGAAAGTATGAGGAAGAGGTTTTATGACTCCACAGAGGGCTGTATCCCACAATGTATCCCCATTGTCATCAAACTCGTACTTTATGCCAAACTGCAAAGCAGTGGGAAGAGCACATAATGCTGCAACAGTCCAGATGCAGAGTATGGTCTTGACGGCTCTCGGCAGATGAGACATGGTCTGTGCGCGGAAAGGATGACATATGGCAACATATCGTTCCACGGTGAAAGCAGTGATGGTTAAAATGGATGCATTAGTGGACATCTCCGAGGTCAGGCCGCGCAAGATGCAGAAAGCTTCTCCAAATACATATGGGTACTTATACCACAATTGGTACAGCTCTTGGGGCAAACCGAGAATGAGTAACAGCAAGTCCGACACAGCTAAGCTGAACAGATAGTAGTTGGTAGCAGTATGCATGTAACGATTCCTAGCAATAACAATACAAGTACAGATATTGCCAATAACTCCAGTCATCAAAATCACAGCATATACGAGGGTCATAGGAATCACGGTGGAAAGGGGGTCTCTCTTTGGTCCCAATCGGCATTCTTCCATGGACATGTTGAAACAATCACTGAAGTTAAAGAAACTGAAGTAGGAAAAGTTTCTGAAATTTATGTCATCCATTTGCTCCATGTTACTTCTTGTTTTTAGTATTTTTTCCGCTTCTCTCAAGAAAAATAAAGCTTTTGGTTATTTAAATTTGGTATTAAAATGTTCTTTTCATTTGCGAATCCTGAAGAAAGCAGTGGAACGAAATAAAATACCGGGGAACTTAAATTACATTTGGTCTAAACTCAAAGTCAGTATTTCCTTGAAACTGAAATTCCAATACATTGAAATAAAAAATAAGAAGAAACAATGTAAAGCACACTTAAACGATCTTATATAAGAAAACAAACGAAAAATTCAACAACTTAACTGTTTGCGATGTATTTAAGTAGCGCGAATTTCTTTGTTTCTATCAAAATATATTTCGCGAATTAAACCACTTGTTGTAATATGCGACAAAAAACTAAGGTTTACAAACTACTGCGATAAATTCTCTCTGCAGCATAAATAATATTTTCCAAAACGACTGTTAAATTGGGACTTCAAACAGGCCGATAACTTCTCTAACCGAAAACTATTGATAAAACCTCACTATCCGGGAACTTCTTACTCTGCCTGACTCTTGGATATCCGACGGGATAACTCAGGATCCGGACTTCCCGACTCCGAACGCATCTTGACCTGCTTTGAGCGCCATCTACTAAGGGTGGTAAGTGGAGGGGTTTCAACCCCCGTTTAAATTATTTTTCCTTCCCCGATGCATCACACTCTTCAAAGCGGTGCTTCAAAATAATTTTCCCATAAAAGAAACAATTAAAATCGATTATTTTAAGATCTAGCTCAAAAGGATTTTTTTGTTAAAGAACTGCATAAATAATTCATTTCAGCTTGAAATAAATAAAAACAGGATTTAATCACAATGCACCCCAAGAGATATGTTCTTTTTTTAATTGACAGTGTCTTAATTATTTTTTACGGCAGTCAAACTAAGTTTTATCCTGTTTTAATTTGGAATTTATTCATTTATTTATTTATTTGAATTATGCAGAAAACTCATTAATTTTATTCATCATTGCAAAAAATGCAATTTTTGTTGAATGAAATGTTGAGGATTATCTTGTGGTATCAAATAATGCAAAATGTGATGGAATGAAATTTATGAAAGTATGTAAAACACATTTGGCGATTTTATTGCTTATAACGGATGTGCCAAACGTCAAAACGCACCGAAAAAACTGTAATTGTTGAAAAAACTCTAATTCATTGCAGGTATACTTAGAAATACATCTACTTTAAGATTATGGTAAACATTTTATAGGTTATAATTTAAATTTTTTTTCGAAAAATGTATCAAAATTATTAAAACTACAAATTTAAAAAACAAATCATAAAATACGGGCGAATTTTTATTTGGAATGAACCTAAATTTCGAAATGTGAAAGGAAGAATCAAATAAGTTTAATAAAAAAGAGATATTAATAAATATATACCAAAATTCAATTAATGTTGAGGACTTAAAATTTTGAGAGCTAATTTTTTAAAAACTCCTCGTGCGTATTTTACAAAACTTGGCAGTTTGGCATAATTTGAATCGTAGAATCGAAATATGGAAACAATTGGCATGTGAATGCAGAAAAGTTTCGATTTTGTGTCAAAATACCTATATTAGAACAATGCTAGATATAAATCTAATGTGTATATCCTAAGTGGCGGTTTCGAGACATGAAAAATGCAAGTTGACTTTCGTCAACCGGCCCTGTAGAATGCAAGATACAGGAAATGTCCCCTTTTTCTCCCGTTCTGTGCCAGTTGCATTTTATTTGATCGTAAGGTTTTAGGTAACGCATTATTTTTGAGAAAGAAGGAGGTATTTATGATTAATCTTAAACTGGTTCCTTTTATAAGCTGATGCAAATGCAATGAAAAGCTACTCAAAGCAAATAATTGATTTCAGTTCTTTTTCAGGTAATTAAAATACATTTCATAAACATGTATCTTGTTTGAGCGCTACTTCTGAAACACCACTTTTATTTTTAGTTAACATTACAACAAATATCAGGTTTACTTTTTGGGGGCTGTCCATGGCTATTTTTTATATTTTACCTATAACTGATTTCTATGCGTTAATTCATCATTTTGCCATGGATAAATTTTGTACCTGTAGCTTGAGGAGTTAAGATTTAAATCTCAAATTGTTTATAATAATGATTGATTATTAATTAATCAACTGATTAATAATAATTATATTCGAGCTTTTGGAAATACACATGCACATGCAAGTCTTTTAATAATTTTTTTCAACTAGATTACAGTTGTTTTGAGAGAGGATTTTTAAAAATTTATGACTTTGCAACTGAAGTAATTTCAAATTACTTTAAGTAAAATTAAAAAAATTATTGCTAACAAAAAAATTATAAATTTGACGGCAAAAGGAAACGAAACTTCATTAATTTATAATTACGATAGAATTTATTCAGTTTGCTTTTTCACATATTTGCTATTGTACACATAGGATTGTTTTATTACAACAAAGCAAGCCAGGACTATCTAATTATGGTAAAGACGGTTAAGTGAAAGATTTTCTGAGGGTTTAAAGTTTATATTACACATAGAAAAGAAAAAGTGCTGATATATTGCAGACAGCCATTTGAGGAACTGGAAATAGGCCGTACTACAAGCTTTTAGCAATTTTTAGTTTTTCTACCATAGTTTAAGAATTAGAAGCCTGCATTTACAATCTCGAAGTTACCTCGATACCTGCAAGATCAAATACGACACTTGATCAACTTTAGAATCCCTTTAGATAGCACTTCCTGAAATGTCCTTGTAATATTCTTTTCATAAACAGGGGAAAATATTAAGAGACGAAAGTGGGTTTGGTTTGGTTTACGTATTACGGCAAAGCCTCAAGGGTCAAGGGCTGTCTGCCTAAGGGAAGGGATGCCTTCACAGAGGACGTTCTAAAGGAGAGCGCACATGCAGCCAAAACCTGTTCGTGGGATTCGAGCTTTGAACCGATCTACCAGTGTTCAGCGACTTTACCGCTCGGCCGTTGGTGGGTAGAGAAGAAAGTGGGGAAAAACGTTTACATTACGTAAAGTTCTGTAGATTTCGGTTTATCGTTCCGCGATATTGCTGCTCGTGTCGGTCAGGATCCCATGACTGCCAGGTGATTATGAAATCGATAGGTCCACCAATGCCATACCGAACGCTATGCAGGATCTCAGCGGTCCCCAAGTTACTAAAGTCCCAGACGGCAGACATATTGTCCTCTCGCCCTTTTAGGATCGTGCTGTGACGTCACATATCCTGAGTCAGGAACTGTGCTAGTGAGCAAGACGACAAGTGTACACACGGAAAACCTTACGACGTCTGCAACACCACAGATAATCAGCACGGTAATCATCCTTGCGGGTTCCTTTAGAGCCACAGGAAAGAGAAAATCGCGCCTATAGTAATGCGACGAAAGACGATATTGCGTACAAGAGTAGCATCATATCGTCTTTTCGGACGAATTCTGATTATAGGGACAGCATCACGACGGCTGGATCCTCGCGTGAAGACGCCGAGGAGAATGAACCTTGCCAGCTTGCATTCGTCATCGTCATACGGACTCATCACCTAACGTGGCGGTATGAAACGCCATTGCGTATCTAGTCACCTCTTGTTCGCATAGCTGGGAATGTGGGCAGTCCTCAGCACATTTCTGACATGTTAAAAGGGTCTTGGCCGTGCCCTAATTTTGCGGCTAAGAACAAGATAATGCACAATAATGCCAAGAACACGATAATGTACGATAAGTTTTCAACAAGATGCTGCAGGACAGCAGTGTTGCCCTTACTCATCTGAGGGTCCTGACCTTCTTTGATACAGAGCGTCTTCGATTATTGCCTTAGCTAGTACGTTCTTTAGACCTCTTACCTACTGAGAAGGTCTGATCGTGAGTTGGCGAGAGAATAGTACGCTATCACTCACCAGTATCTACGACTGAGAACTCTGGCATAGAATTGAAACCATATGGAATGAAGTACTCGCATCTGTTACCTATGCTTAGTTCTACTCATGCTCAACCGGATTACAGCCGTTATTGCTTTCCAGGGGGTGGCAGCTCTGTGTATTGAATTTTTCCCACTGTGTATTCCAAACCACCTGTAAATTTCAAATGTGTTCTTTCCATTATGTAGTATGTGTGCAATAAGTAAGATTCTGCTATTTGCTTTTCATCCTGGTACAGCTATCTTACTGGTTGGCAGTGTATTATAATACATTGTAATGAATTTCTTGGAATTTTAACTAACTTTAAATTAAAATATTTAGCGGAATTTTAAGTAATTCAATAGCTGCAATTTATCTGTTGTTTATACAACATATTCGTAAATTAAACACACTTTCAAAGCGAAAGTGGTCTTTTTTGAAAAATTCACTTTGATATTAATTTTGAAAATTTTATTTTGCTTTAAATTTAAACTTTCCTCTTTTGTTTACAGTTTTAAAGGAAATTTTTATTACAAACATATTCTTGCCTGTGATTTGCAATGTGAATTCATATCCACATGAGATTTCTATGTAGATAATTAGCTAACTATTCCTCTCAACATGATTACCATACGTTTATAATGCACTGAATGAATCGTATAATTACGGCAAAGCTGATTAGATCTACCTGCCTAAGGGAAATGATGCGTGATGAAGGACTTTCTAATACAAGGGAAACTGACGCACATTTAATTTATGTACTGGACAATATCCTTTACTGTAAAAAAAAAAAAAAAAAAAAAAAAAATATTAAATTTAAGATAAAATAGTTCGTTTTAGTCAATCTACATTTGCTTTAAAAACAAATTAAGTGACTTTTAATATAATTTTCAACTTATTATGTAATGTATGTAAGATCTTAATTGCGTAGAATTGAAATCAAAGTCCTTGAGGAGTGTCAAGCGAGTTATTACTTCGTCTGACTTATAATTAAGTCCTTAAGAAAGTTT